TGTAGCTTGGCCAATTTGAGAGAAACAGTGTTGAAAATTATATTAAATTATAGGAAACTGGATTTATTGATTTAGATTATCAAAAATGTAATTTTATAAATAGTTATTGCGATGAAATAGGGTAAAGGGATCAGAATCACAACTGTACACAGTTATCCTGGTGCCTTTTGATTATTTTATCACTTTCAGGCATAATAATAATAATAATAATATGATCACATGATTAATCTAATTTTGACTTGTATTTTTTGATATGTAATCCTCATGTATTATATATGCACTAGAAACAGGATATTGCTACTGGTATTGTGTTTGCTTGACATTAGGGTCACAAATATAAAAACAAAATAAAAATTAAAACTTTCTATACAAATTTTTTTGAACTGCAAATACATATAATTTATCCTACTTTCAAAAGCTTAGATGACTCTTCTAAATAATTTTATGTTTCTTTAATATGATGTATCTAGTTAAAATCTGTCTAATTTGAAATAAACTGCTAACTGCTAATAGCTAAACATGCTACAAAAATTTAACACTTTGTTGTAATTTCTGAAATGGGTCATTGAATCTGCAAACTTAAATTTAATTTAATCATTTAATGGCATTTATTTATTTCCTTGTCTTTCTTGGTCATTTTTTAAAGACTGAAGCAACTGCTTCATTAGGAAACACTTCAAGTTAGCAATTAGCGTGCTAGCAAAAGTACAGTTAGTGTTTAGCTAACGCTTAGCATCTAAATAGACAGTTTTCCCTAGATCTGAGACCAATTTTAGTTAAAATTTATTATGTGAACACAAATAAATCTCTAAATAAAACAGTTATGATTCATCACTCGGTGAAATGTGAACACTTTTTTCTTATCGTAGCTTAAGTTTGTATTTTTTTTTTTTTAGCTTGAATAGCTAAAGCTTTTTATCCATATCTATAATCTAGTGTTAGAGACTTTAACAGCTGGTTTCTAGGGCAACCAGTCATGCTGTATTTTTATTTTTAAATATTTCTATGAGTGTTGATTGCTTCTGCACAGTGAAATTTATGTGTCTAATATCTTTTGAGAGTCCCGATTTACATCATTTTTTTCCACCATGTGGATGTGATGGACACCCAGAATAAATTGTCTGGAGAGCAATTACCGGAAAAATACTGTACGAGTAATTAAGTGAAAGCAATCAGTGAGGGAACATAATGAATCAGAACCAGCATGAAATGCCCCATTTGTAAGAGAACATAATTAGTTTGTGGAAGAGTGACGCAAAAATGTGAGGCCTCATTAAAACATCATGTCTATCATGACAAAATCAATTATGTCATTAAAGACAGGATATCATGATTAATGTGTTCACTTTTTTTAAGTAGAGGCTTTAATTTGATTTTGATTTGCAGGTGTTTAAAATCAAATCAGCAGCTCGCAGTCCACCAAGCAGAAAAAGTTGCTTTGTTCTCCTTCTGAATGCTAATTTTGAGTTTGGCATCTCAAAAAAATATCAAAACGATGACTCATGCCTGCATGTAAACTTGCAATTAAAGCGTGCTCAGGTTTTTTCTGTTCCTTCCTGAGAATGCTGATCTTAAGCTACAGGGTGATTCCTAAGCCGACGGGGAAGTTTAACAGGAAGTGGATCGCGCCAGTTTTCCCCAGAAGCCGAAGACAACTGACAAACAAGTTTGACCTCACTAAAAGCAAAACTCGCAGGCAGGAGAAGCACTTCACTTAATCAAAAGGAGTTAGAAAAATAAATGTTTCCGGCTGAACATAAAATCCTCAAAGAAAAGCAATAACTCTCAATTAGCACTAACACAAACGCGCAAGAACAGAGAAAAATGTCTTTCTGTCTCTCCGGGACAAATTCATTTAAATTAGCCAATAACTCAGCATCAGATGGACAATATCTGGATGAAGATAAACTTTGGTAATATGTGATTTGTATCACTAAACTGCACACAGTAATTGAATTTAGTCATATTTTCAAATGTTCAATATTTATAGACACTTTAATTGAAAGAAAATTGTAAATCTTGACAATACAAACAATTTTGGGATTTTTAAAATGTCCTTATTTGGACTTTATTGTGATTGTAAATGAAAATCAGTATGGAGGAATATTATGGTATGTTTGGTCGTAAGAGAGATGCCTGTACAGGTTAATGAATGGAGAACAAAAAACCAGGAAATGGAGCTTGAACTTTCATCCAATGTAAACTAGTTCAGATCAAAACTTTGATTTCTTGGAAACTCTGGCTGAGCTCATAACTGAAAATGCCTCCATATATCTTATAGGAAGCAGAAAATATGCTTCCTATAAAATCTGGTTCTAACAGCTGGTACTAATTCTGAATTACCAGGAAGAGCAGCGAGCAGAAACGCTCAGATGTACAGATGCTGACAGGAGCCCAAGAGTTTCTTAGAACTATGCTGTTATTTTTGATGATATGCAGAAAAAAATGAAGATTATTCCAGATCGCTGACTGGTATTGTTCTTAATCAGGGTATCTGCAAGCTTAGAAAGTCAACTTTGTGACTTTTAAAGACCTTTGTAACGCCATCTTGAATAAAATTTAAGACAAAAACGGATGGTTGGTGGAACTTGCTGTGTTTCAATCAAGCATAGCAAAAAGTATGAACCAGGCTTTTTGCTTCTCACGCTGCAGATGGCGCTCTACCATATTAATCCTCATATATTAATATTAATAATCTCAAATGCGTTGGCAGTAGAAGTCAGTCAGTGGCAAAAATGAGTGTAGGAAAGCTAGCTAGCTAGCAAGGGTATACATGTTAGCAGCTAGTTAGCGGTAGCATCAGTCGCCTCGAGTCACACAACACAATGAAGATGGAGTGCCACTCAAACTTTTGCTTGACCGAAAAGTCCCAAGAAAAAAAACGTAAATTTAGAATTGCTGCCATAACAAAATGTAATATTTACATTTTTTAAAAAAAATTTACGACATTTTAAGGCATTATTTTAGACACTAATTCAAGAGTTTTTAAGATTATAGTAGTAGTGGCGCTTTATAACACATTTAAGTAGCCATGTTACTTTCAGCTGTTATAAAAATGCTGTATGTAACAAACATGATTTAAAAGAAAATTGACATTGTAATTTAAAACCTTGAAATTGGGCTTCTGTCTCTTTAAAAACTCTTCCTTCAGGAAGTCATCACAACATGGCTCCTCGATTAAAGCTGTAGCAATGTTTTTACCAGCGTTGCACTGAGAAGTAGCTCACTTAATGAGGTGTTTGCTAATTGCTGCTGGCTAGTCTGAAGGAACTAAGTGGTGGAAGCTCAGAGGAGGAGCTTCGCCTTGAAGGCGGGGCTTGGTCCACTCAGGCGTTTTACACATAATGTCAATAACATTATGACATGATGTAAAACTAGAAAAAGTTAAACATTTTACATGATACTGTCCGTTACTACGCTTTTCATGATTTTGCAACTGGAAGATGGACAAATATCTACAGCAGTTGCATAACTAATCAAAACTTTTAACTTTTTTTTATTTAATTATGAATTAAAGTCAAGGTCAGCTTTGGATTCAAAGAAGAAATAAAGCTAAAGTCAAACTATCCCACTCAAGCCGTTAAGTAAGAGCCCACATGGCGACGGTGGCCTGTGCTGCTGACACGATCTCCTCTGTCAAACAGTGAAAAACAGAGATTAATGAGAGGGACGGGCAAACAGCCACCGCCGAGGGTTTGTCGGCACATCAGAGTGCAAAAACCCGTGATAACAGCCGTCGATGAAAGATGAATGCAGATCAGGAGCTGACAAATCAGTGAGCGATTAAAAAGAGGCTTCTCTCCTCGGCTGTTTCCTGGTTTGTGGACTGAAGATGACTGCTGGCCTGACAGGAAGGGCCTCATTGTGCTGCAGCAGAGGGCTTACGTAAGATGTTGGTGTGCAGACATGGACACACTCAGCACAACAACGCAATGTTTCCTTTTTTACAGAATAGAAACTTTCATGGTATAGCTAGGAAAAAAAAAAAATTAACCAGACAAACAAAACAAAAACGCGTGCATCGGAGCCGGCATTCCTCAGCTGTTACTCAAACCGCGAAGGCCAACGGCATGCATGCACTTAGAATGAAACGTGGTGAAACTTGTCTGACTCAACCTTTAGCTATTAGAAATGCACTTCCTTCACTTTTACTGTAAGTCGGCATAAAAGCTTGACTGCACAGTGGCAGCGAAAAACAAGCTTTTAAAAACCAGAACATGATTCAGAAGGACATCTAAAAGTCTCGTTGTTTGGGTAAATATCAAGATTGTAATATTTGTTTTGTTTTTTCAACAGCAAACTTCAAAAACACAAAATATTACCAAGCATTTCTGTCTAGTTTCATGAGCAAATTTCTTCGTACACTTAAAGTAAGACGAAATGAACTTCAAGTAACTTATTAGCAAGATAGTAGAGCTTTAATTCATTAAAACTGGTGAAAAATACTATCAATTAATCAATTAATCAAGTTTAGTTGTGTAGCAACGTTCAGCAAAAGGCAGTTCAACATCATAAAACCAAAACCAGTAGCAACTATCAGGTTTTGTCACTGTTAAAAGTTTGGTAGTTCCACTGAAACATGTTGCTATCAGTGAAATAATCCGCCAATTGAACTGGTACTTTCTCTATAACAAAGCTCCTCCATCTTGCTAACAAGTTACTTGTTAGTTAGTTTTGTCTCATTTTAAAATAATTGCAGATTTTGTGTTTTTGCAGAGCAGAGATTTGACTGGGAACCACATCAAGCTAGAGGCGGCAGCAGCAACAACAACAGAGAGAGTTTTAAAGTGCATTTCTACCTCTGTCACCCAGATGAGCGGGATGGCGCTGTAATTCTTCCTCATCCCTCCTCTCCCTCAGAGCCTGAGGTCAAAGTGCATGGAAGTGCATGAAGCCCCCTGTGGGTCGCTGGCACTCTGAAGCTTCAGGACTCCAACAGAGCAGCCAAAGCAGCAGCAGCAGCAGCAGCAGCGTCTCTCTTCCTCTCTCTCTGTGTTTCGTGAGCAACAGTCTTATTGTGAAATCTTGGTCTCCGTGTGGCAGCAGCTATTAGAATCAAAGCGGCTCGGATTCCTCCGGTGGAGGTGTGTTTTCAACATTTATAGCCACCAAGCGCTCTCTCTCTGGGGTAAAGGCTTTTTTTCCCCCCTCTGATCACTATCAGACAGTAGCAGAAACCTGCCAATCGGGTGAGAGCAGGAGGGAGGAGAGGATGAGGAGGGAAATGAATGAGTGCAGGATTCGCTCCCTGAGGGGAAGACGTTTTACTGAACAGGACAGCCAGATAACGGCCGGCATGTTTATACGGCCAGGCTGGACTCTGCACTCCTGCTCAGCTCGCTGGGACATTCTGTCCAAACCAGGAAGAAGATGCTTCTTTTTGTCGCCCAGCCAACCGACAGGATAATAAACGAGTGATATTTTCAGCATCAGTTTGTCTTTTTTGTTGTTCTTAGCAATTCCCCCTGGAGGAATGAGTAACTGTGCTATTGATAGAGATTAAAACATCAGACAATAAAAATAAACATTTGTTTAAATTTCTGCAAAGTCAGAAATGGCTGCATAGCGCTGTAGTTCTGCATGGCCTGCTGTTTGTTTACGTAAACCTGAATTTATAAGAGATAACTCTGTGTTTTAAAGAAGATAGTCCAAAGCTAATTTAGATAAAATAAGGAAGCATTTAACCTGATTTGCTCTTCGTCCTGAGAATTTGACTCTTATCACGGCTGCAGATCGGACTTTCAGTTAACACAGTTTGGAACATTTTCATAAACAAAACCATTCTGTTCTACCACACCCTGTAATTTCACTTGCATAACTTGCTTGAATGGATGGGTTGAAGTACCAGAGGGAAACAGACAGATGTCCAACCACTTCAGTTTACTCCTTTAGTCCAAGTCTAAGTTATTTAGAAAGTCTCATTTAAGTCTCACTACTTTATCCTAATTATGCTACAAAAATAACATAAATAAAAGACAGTAAGCAAATATTCCCCAAATGTGGTTCATTTACGCCCTATTTCATAACCCTATAGAGTTTGGTGATATGGATTACAAATAAAATTTTATATTTTTTCATGCCAGGTCTGAGTTTTTTGGCACTACCAGAGCTCCATACAATGTCTTATTCACGCAGGTGTCTGGTCACTGACGTCTGTCCTGCAGCCCTTGTGCATAAACATAAACTCTGATGCTTTTTATCAGCCTTTCAGCCCAAATGAGTGCAGGAAATCCATTAAAACAAACCCAAGATTTGGAGAATTACGTTCTGGTAAACGCTGAGGACAGATCTCACACTTTCCTCCAGGAGCAGAAACCACTCAGGGGAAAACATTGACTGTTAGCGATGTCAAATAGAGAAATAGCGAGGAAGAGGATTCACCCTCTTCATTGCATTTCTGCTGCTGGCATCGCTACCACCTCAGCCAGATGCTGCATCAGCAGTCACAGAGTCAGAGGCTCAAATTATCTGCTCCATTTGCAGACGATGATTCAGACTGCAGAGAGACGTAGACGTAGCTGAAGAGCAGCTAATAAGCCCCTTGCTGAATAAAAAGCGAGAACTTCAGGTTGGAGTGCGCTGGGAACGTTTTATAATTATGCATCAAAGCACTCACAGCTGATTGTTCTGAAATTACTCTGAGGATTTTAATGCGACACCTCCTTCACTTTGCAAAACGAATCTCCTCTGATGTCTGAATACAGATGGGAACGGATCAGTGTTCGCTAAAATGCTGACAGAAGACGATGCCAGAAGCCTTCAGAGCCAAACTGATGAAGCTTTGGAGACAGCTCTGACTCACTGACACAGATTAAGAAAAGAGCGCCCCCTTTTGGCCATTAAACGCTAGTAAAACTCCGTTCGTGATGATTTTCTTCTGCTTCCACATCCTCCAAAAGACTGGCATGAGGAAGAAGCGACAAAAACAGAAAGTCTCCTCGTTTAACAGCTGCAAATGTCTGAAATTACAAATAAAAAAAAAGGGTCTAGCTGTTATCAAATTATCAAAATATATTAAATTCTAGAAAATACTTGGAAATTTTTCAGTTTCAAAAGTTAGAGATTAATCTCAAAATTACTGATTTTTATTTTCTCGCACAAATTTGACTTTTCAAACTCAAAAATTTAAGTTTTTTCTATAATTTTTTTTAACATTAATCTCAAACGTTCTGAGTTTTTAGCTGAAATTCATATTTCGTTTGTGCTAAAGTACAAACGAACCTTTATACTAGAAAGAAGCTGGTTAATTCACAACAATGAGGTAAAACGGAGGCACACCTGTAGATGAATCTTAAGGCAACACAAACTCACCGTTTGCTTATGAAATATGATAAAGTAAAAAATAAACCATCAAGGATATCCGATGGAAATCTTTGGATATCCATAAGTCTGGTTCATTGTCAAAATGTTTTGAAGTTCTTCATTCATCGGTTCAATTACGCTAAAGTACATGGAGGGTTCTCGCGAGATCTTGTGATGGGCGGTTAGAACTTCTCGTCGAAGTGGCAAGTGATTCGCGAGGCGCCATCTTGTGGATAACGGCTCCTTGTAAAAACAGGTGAGTTTTTTTTATTACGACTCCCAAATTTGATAGCGGCGTTAGCTTGAAACAAGTGACTATTTGAGACTCTTATTTTGAAATAATAATAAAAAAAAACCTTAGAAAGGAAGTTTCGTGATCACAAAATTTGATCGTATTTCCTCGACAAGCTAGCTAGTACCGCTAACAAAAACCACCAAAGAAACCCTTGGCTTGCCTTATGGATTTTTTTTTTGTTTGAAATATAATGTTTAAAAACACAACATGTTTTATTCAATTCTTAATAATAATAGGATGTAGGAACTAAATGATTGTGTGTGCCTCAGTCTACTTTTGCATTAAATTTAAATATTCTTTGTTAATCCCAAAGGGACATTAAATGTTGTTGTAGCTCATTAATTCAGATTCTTCAGAGTTATTGAAGATGGTGATGGCAGTTGGCAGGAAATATTTCTTGTAGCAGTCTGCATTACAGTGAATCTGAAGAAGCCATCATTGGTTGTACATCAGCTTCCTCTGCTGGTGGGTCACAATCAGCTCACCTCTTTTCCTGTTCATTTTCAGAATTTAATCACAATATAAAACAGGTTGAAAGGAAGGACCATGATGCTGTTTTTAAATATCAGGATAAAGATTTTATTCAGGCAGGAAATTATAATTAACAGCATGAACATAAAGCAGTCATAGTTCACTGGGCTCCAGCTTTAGGTGGAACCCACTCGTGGATCTTCTTGCGGGTGGTGGGGTACGGCACGTACTGCTGTGGGGAGCCACTCACGTTGAACTGGTGAACCTCGGCGAGGAACTTCTTGGGCTCTGGAGGATGTGTGGTGGGTGGGTCTTCTGTCATACAATGCAGCCAGCGATGCCTGAATGATGAAGACGAGGAGCTTTGGTTACATTGCAGTCGCGCAACCATATTTAAATTAATCAGCATTTAATTGGAATGGCAGAAAACACCATCACTGGCTTAATTTGGAGGTTTAACTTTTTCCAACAAGTGTTCAAACAGTTCATGGATTTAAAACAAGGAAGATACCATTCAGCTGGCACCATGCTGCCATCCACCTCCCAGAATGTTCTCTTTCCGTTCATCTCTGTGGTGTAGATCACCCAACGGTGACGTCCTGAACACACAAATAACACATCAGAAGAAGCAGTTTCTTTAACTGTCCAGTAAGACTTATGATTTAAAATCTGGAACTAAGACAGAAAAAAAACATACTTGCTTGGACCAAAAATACGATTGGATATTGGACTTATTTAGCTTTTATGATAATTTATTCATTTTAGGCTTACAACAAACACCACAAAGTTGGAAAGCATCAATTGTGTAAATCTAGAATGAGGTAGACTACAAAATAGTAATTTTAAATAGATGACGTGACCATATGATTGAAACGTTTAAGCAAATGTTAAAAAAAGAGAAGTCTAAAATGGGTAAACTGTTTTAAATTAGCAAACATTAAATAAATACTGTAGCATTATTCCAGTCTCGACTTCATAGCTACCCATTTATGCAGTACATAAAGTTAACTGGTTTTTATAAGCCATTTAAGATACAGAATTTAAAAATATAATCTTCTAAAATGTGTTCAAACCAACCCTCTGGTAATAAATTAAAAAACACCCCTTGAATTAAATTAAATATTGGCAATTAACAAGACTCAATCTTTTGATTAACTCTTTAATTGCAGAATTGGTTTAAATTAGCGATGCTAATTGAGATTTCTTCTGGTTGAGAGCAAAATTCTGAATTTTAAAATAATTTAAACCAGTCTGACTTCATCTAGTCAGACAGGTTCTATTTAATCTACGTGATTAAAAAACATTATGAGAAACATAAAACTTACCAAAGAAGTAGTGCTTCTTGTCTTCATAGTATTTGTTTCCGTATTTATCAATACCAATAAGAGTGCCTGTTTTGATATCGTTCACCCTGCAAACACAAGCAAAACATTGATTTTAACTACCCCTGAATATATTTTAAGAAAAAAAAACCCGACTGATATAAAACGAGACACTTGTGAGTTTAAAAATGGGCATTCCAAATATTACATTTCATTTAGATTTCATTATGAGTCCTTTATAGGGCAAATGTAGTTAGTTGTCAACATGCTAACTACAGTTAGCTTCACAGAGTCATAGCTTTAAGCAGAAATTTCCGTCTGTTTTTTAAGTTTCTGTGTCATAATTAAATACAGGGTGATAGTTGGTAATATTGTTGACTAAACTGACCTGAAAAACTGTGTCAAAAAACCCCGAATTCCTCCATGACCCCCTAGCTGTCCCAAAGCCCTTCGGACCAGGTTAGCATATTCCGCCATGTTTAGACGGAAATGCAACGGAAACGTCCCGACAGAACCAAGGAGAAAAAAAAGTTCCGCAATTAGGGATTTGTTTTCTTAAATACAATTATAATTTTAACCTTTATGATATATCACTATAACCTATGGTCTTGTTCATATGCATAGAATAAAGTAGAAATATCCTTTATTATGATTTACAAAAGAATAGAAGCATAAATATTGAAGCCAAAATAAAAACCTAAAAAAAAAAAAGACTGTACAGTAAGGGCAAATTTAGAAAACATGATAAAGTATCTAAGTAAAAAATTACAATAGCAGAAATTAAAAAAAAAAAAAAAGTTTAAAACCAATACAATGTGCACACTTCTGTCTGCAGTCCTAGTTTCAATAATGGTCACTACTTACCTCAGATTGACACCCATCATCCTGTTACCTAACAAAGCCACAAATTAAAACAAGTACAATCAATATATTTATACACATTTATTAAAAACTGTTGCCTGACAGTTTAGAAATGCTGCTCATAAGAGACAAACTGTTTACAAAATGTTAAAGTACAGTCACAGAGGAACGCTTCAGAACTTGATTCTCACAACAGGCTGCAGCAGATTTATTTATCTTTTAAGTAAACTAAATTTTATTGACTTGACACAAACCAAACAGAACTAAAGACACATTTAACAAAATAAAAAGAAGATGTACGGATTTTTCAACACATTTGCCATCAGAAATCTGTTATAAAAAGTGATGAATTGTTGTTTTTAAACTACAAACTGATGGGTGACCTAGCAAGACATGAAGCAAACATAAAAATGGAATCTGAAATAAATCTGAAAAACAATACATTTCTTTTTATTATTTTAAAAAAGGGGAGGAGCCACAGTGTCTGTAAAATGAAATATTCACTTCTTAAAGTCTTTGTATCTGAGCATTCATTTAAAAGAAACATAGTTCACGCATTCTTCCCACAGTGTTTACGTGCAAAAATAGGATAGAAAAAAGAGGAAAAAAAGGATTTTGATCCTCGTCTAAAAAACTCTGAATCTGAAAATAAGTGGCTGCCTGCGCTTTTCAGACAATAAATGTTCCTAGTTTATAAATATTAGCTCTCGGCCTTAAAAACAAAACAGAAGAAAAAGGTCAGCATTGCTTGTTTATGTCTTTATACACAAAAACTTTTAAACATTCTGGTTTGGCTAAACAGGAGAAACAACAAAAATATCTCCATAAAAAAATGTGACATTTCCAGTTTTATCCAGGATTATTAAACATTTCTGTTTATGTTAAACTCTTAGGCACTAAGATGAACATAGATGTTTTGTGTTAAAGCTGGAGTTTAACAGCAAAATCCCAACTTGTTCCTTAAAATCTGCATGCATTATCCAGGTAAAATTGCTTCATGTAACTACTCTGCAGCAAACGGGGGATAAAAATGTCACAACCTGCAGATTGAAAAACAACAGCTTAGCACCCAGATGTGTATTTGGACATTATTTCCAATGGAGTGTCATCCATAAAATGACCAGAAATAACTCTGAAACGTTATTTCTCGGTGTGTAATTAAGATTCACTCTTTGAATAAAACCACTAAAATAAATTAGCTTTTCCATTATGTTCTAATTTTTTAGAGAAAAAAAATTACTTCTCTTTCCGTTTTCTTCAAATTCTTCAAAAACCTTCACAACTATTTTGCTCTCCTGACAGATAAATACAACTTGTTTAAAGCTGCAAATGTTACTTTTTAATAAAGGAATAACATTTTGGAGTTTTTAGGAAATTTCTTTAAAAAAAAAAAAAAAAAAAAAAAAACCAGCATTTTTTTTCATTTTTAAAATTAAAAAATATAAAAAAAA